AAACTTTGAAACTGGAGACAGTTCGAAGAAAATGTTTTAATAATTATTTATCTTCAGCTTACATGCAACTCAAAATTGATGAGAAACTCTGGGCACATCAAACTGATGTGTTCTGTGGCCTAAGAAATGTTAATTAGAATAAGACTTCAGACAATTGCAAATAAGGAAAAACTCAAAGTAGATATCAAGATATCAAGTAGATATTATCTTTAAAAGAAATTAAGCATGTTTATAGATCAACAGGACATTATCACTTAAAGAAAACATTGTATTTTGCTCATAAAATCAACCTGTCCGTAAGCAAGGAAGAAGTAAAACAAATGGCTGAGAAACGCATAACCTGTCAATCAACTGATCTAAGTCCAACAAATTGGCCAAAAGGGGAAATAGAAGTAAAAAGAATGTGGCAACAACTTGGTTTATAAATATAACTCATTACGAGGGGCAGCACTATCTTACCCTAATCAACTGTGGACCTACATGGTATGCAATAAGACGCTATCTTATGTTGCAAAGGAGCATGCAAGAATATATAATCGGTATTATAGTTCCTATTATAGTATTATAGTTGGCAGGGTAAGTTGGTGCTGATGACTGAGGGTGAGTGTAATAAACAAAGTTAAAGTCTGTATAGAAAGTCATTTGCAATAGAAAGTTACAAGTGAAGTTGTGAATAGCAAATGACTAATTGGCCTAACAATACGATTGCCTGTAAATAATTGTATATATATAAAAAGCATTATTGAAAATATCTTGAGAATTTAGCTGTTATAAATTATGCTGAATATCAAAAAGAAATATGGTGTTTTATGCATAATTGACAACAGTTGATTTTTATGTGAAACTAAACAGTAGAACTAAGAGTTTAGACTAAGTTAGAGTCTAAAGCAAAAACAATAAAGCATTCATAGATTATGTATTAAAATTCATAGATTAATGTATTAAATTCATAGATTAATGTATTAAAATTCATCAATATTTTCTCTATTGAGGTATATAGATAAACCTTTCTTTTGCATGAGGAACTGATTTAGTTTTTTGGTTGGTCATTTTCACTATTACTATTTTTCTAAAAAGTAGTTTGCAGTAGCTAAAATATTATGTTAAAAAATACAAATTAAATAATTCATGAATTCTTATTAATTTTACTTAAATTTTATATAATAATATTAAATTTTACTTATAAATTTATTTTTAAACTTTTACATTTATAATTTTATAAAAAATGTACTCTATTTAAAACGCTATAAAAATGCAATTTGTAAAGAAATAAATCAAAATAAATTTATTTTATGAAAACATAAAAATATATATATAAAAAAGAAAAAAAAGGAAAATTTATTGTTGTATTGTATAATTAATTTGAAAACATTTTTAATATTGATTTAAACAATTATTTACTAAAGGATAGAAAGGTCGAAGTTTTCCTGTATATTGAAAATCAGGCCATGGATTTTGAATTGTATCAAGTAATAAATTTGAAAGTTGTGTACCAGACAATGCTTCACCAGTATCATTAACTTTCAGCTCTAAAAGAAAATATGATGTGTGAATACTGATATGTGAGTACACAAAAATCATTTTAAAAAAATGAAAAAATCAGACACCTGTTTTTAAATGAACTTTTTTATGTTCCTTCCATGCATTTTTGAAGCATGCCTTAAAAAATATATCACACTTGCATATATATAATGAAATATATATAATTATATGTAATGAAATATATGAAATTATACAGTAAAAAATATATATATCAAACAATTTAACATAAAAATTCTTGCATAAAATTTTATTTTAAATAATATTTTGTTATAAATTTTATAACAAACATTTTTGTCTGTTTAAAAATTCTGTGCATGATTGAACCTTTATATTTGAAACTAATTGGTTTGAACATAAGATATTTCTCTCATATTTAAATGCGAATAGGTTGAAGTTTGGAAATTTTTTTTTTGGAAGTTTTTGTGTAAAAGTTCTTTTTCTTGCTTTATCTGATAACTTTTTGCTCATTTTTTTTTTTATACAAAATTAAATTTTTTAAACAAATTTGAAGCACTTTTTTTAATGTAAATAGTTTAACTTTTAATAGTTTGGCTTTTTTCACAATAAAATAGGGAAAACATTCCTAGACCTTAATTTAAATACAGAAAATCACACAAAAAGTTGGGGTTCAGTTGAAAATTGCCAGAAAAAAGAAAAGGTGAGAAATATATCTGCAGCCAAATTGGTGTTGTTGTATCACACCATTTTAGTTTTCACTAAAATGGTGTGATACAACAATACTAACTTAACTAAATTCAGTAATCTTTAAAGTTTCAGAAATTGCAAGAAGTGTGGCAAGAAAAAATTTCAAGAAAGGTATCTCATACTAAATATGAGACATCGGTTACGGGAATACTAGGTACTCTGGCAGTAGATATAACAAAGAAAGAATTAGAAGATGTTAATTTCTAAGACATGCCAACTGATGAGAGTAAGCATATAAATATGAGATTTTTTCTTATTGTGATTCGATATTTTAATCCCAATCAAAATGGGCTGACCCAAAAATTAACAGATTTAAAATCAGTTGTTGAAGAAAAAGTCGAGACTATTTCTGATATAGTGGTACATAATTTAAAAGAATTACAGTGTGAAGAAAAGTGCAAGGCATTTGGTGGAAACAATTGCAATATCAATTTTGGTTTAGTTTCTCATTGTGGAAATCATAATGTTTATAGTCTACTACAAAAAGATTTGAATTTATCAAAGGAAGCAGCTGTTCTGTTCACATGCTTAACAACAGCATTTAGCATGCTGTAGATTCCATGGATATTAACATAGCACAGGTGCTCTTTAAGACATATCATTATTTCTTGATTTACACAGTTTGTGTGGAATCTCTGAAAGATTTTTGTACTTTGGTAGAAGTAGACTACCAAAAGATTTTATTTTGTTGTTTATCATTAAATCCAGCAACCCATTGAGTTTTGCAAATGTTTCCAGCTTTAAAAAGTTATTTTCTGCATCCAATAATTTTAAAAAAGTTTTTTGAAAATCCTTTAAGCAAAGGCTATCTATTGGTTCACTCACTAACATTTGCATATCAAGTGAATGTACATAAGTTAGAAGCAGATTCTAATTACAAAAGATTCTAAATACAAAAGAGATTTTGGAAGAAGTATTAGATCTACTAAAATTTGGTATTAAAGCTGATTTCCTGCCCATTGGTAAACGCAATTTCCTAAAGAACAAAAAAATTTAACAAAACGAAATAACAAAAACTTCACAATTGATGGTACATATTAATGTACCACAATAGTTTAGAGTATTTAACTCATAGACCGAGCAGTTTCAACCATTTAAAGGTAAGCGAAAGATACTATGACTCAAAATGAGGTTTTGATTTTTTTAAAAAACGAAGACCAGATATATTACTGATTTGAGGAGAAATGTAGGAGAGTGCTGCTACATCGATTGATCTATACCTGTCCTAACCAAAACCCTCAGCCGATGTAGCAGCATTCCCTTGCATGTTATCCCTAAATTAGTCAATGTAGAAGCACTCTCCTACATTTCTCCCTAATTCAGTAATATATCTGGTCTTCGTTTTTAAAAAAATCAAAACCTCATTTTGAGTCATAGTATCTTTCGCTTACCCCATTTAAAACGCTTTCATGGATGTGCTTGTCCAAAAACAAACCAGTTTATGAGCAAATCAACAACACAATTGAGTATTTAAAGGATAAAAATGTATGCATAGACAAAGAAAAATTTCTTAACCAGATTGTTAATTTGCAAAAGTTTTATAAAGATCACTTATTAAAAGAGTTTGTGCTACAGACAAAATATGGTTGCAATATTTCAAGACTATAATAGAACCAGACAAGTATTTGGAAATTCTAAAGATGGATCAATAAATGTTTGCAATACCGAGTCACAATGCAACTGTCGAAAGAATATTTAGCTTAATTGAAGCTCAATAGACAGATGAAAGAAACAGGCGGTGGAGAAAATTAAATATATAACTGAAATTTAATTTCAACTTCAGTGACTTGTTTAATAATATTACAAGGTAATATTTTGAATTATTAAAAATAAAGTTACTTGTTCACAAAAAAAGCTTCCACTTAAACCAAGTTTTAAACATGTAGGGCATTGCAGATTGGCAATTTTGTTACAGTTTGGGCTTGCACAAGTTTTTCCGTGGTATTCGTCCGCCATTTTACACACATGCGAACCTAACTATTTGAAACCACCTTTGTTTTCCGGTCGCCGGAATATCGTCAATAAAAATGACATCAGAAGCGCGGCATTAAAAGTACCAGTGACGAAACTAAAGTATGTGAAAGTGGTTTGATAAGTGATTTTCTACTAATTTATATATGTATGTATATATATATATATATATATATATATATATATATATATATATATATATATATATATATATATATATATATATATATATATATATATATATATATATATATATAAAATTTACGTGTTAATATTTCGTATTAATAAAATATTCTCAAAATAAATAAACTTTCAATAGGAATATATACTTAACATACTTGAAAATAATTAAGAATTAAGAATTAAAAACATTAACAAACTTAAAGAAAAAAAGAAAAAGGGTTCCGTTATAAATACATAGATGCGTTATACAGTTTTAAGATACCTTTAACAAAATTGTTAAACTTTTTGTTAAAGGTTTTGTTATACAGTTTTAAGGTACCTTTAACAAAAGTTTTAAACAACTGTTTACAAATTGTTAAATTATAAATTTTATTAATGCAGTGTTAAATATAAAGTTAAAAAATTAAAAGAATATAGATATATCATCTAATAAAAAAAATGACTTTTTTATGTTTTTGTTTGAAAGAGTGATAGCTAACTTCTTGAGAAAAGTCAAAATTTTATTCCAAAGTAATGCTCCTTGAAATGAAATACAGTATTTTCCAGAATTAGTTTGATAAGCTGATTGACGAATGTCATTATAATTTCGTAAAATGTACTTAGTTTTTTCTTTTTTGTTATAAAAATTATGAAATGGTACAGGAGAAATATTGTTTTTACATTTAAACATAAAGCATATAACGTTAAAAATATTAAGCTCATATATATTTAAAACTTTCATTTCAATTAATAGAGGCTTGGCATGAGTAAATCAATCCTTAAAATTAATAAGGCGTTCAACATGTTTCTGTTGACGATAAAGAGGTTCCAGTTTACTTTTATTAGTACTACCCCACGCAATGTTCGCATAGTTTATGTGACAATGAATGAGCGAATAATATAGTTTAAGTAATTAATTTCATCAATATAAATACCAAGAAAGTTTGTAACTGTTACTTTTTTTAGAAGTATATTATCAATAAAAAGAAGTGGTATCTCATTTGGTATAAGATTTTTTTTGTGATTTGAATGAAAAAAAATCCATTTCGTTTTATCAATATTAAGAGACAGTTTATTTGTCTTAAACCAATCAGAAACTCTTACTAGTTCATTATTGATATTTTGAAATAACAATGAAATATCATTATGAGATAAAAATAAGTTCGTGTTATCTGCAAACATAATCGTCATTAAATTTGAGGCTTTATGGAGATCGTTGATGTAAATCAGAAAAAGAAGAGGCTCTGATATTGATCCCTGAGGAACTCCACAGGTTATATCAAGCAAGTTTACTGGTGAAACTACATCAACGTGTACAAATATATATATATATATATATATATATATATATATATATATATATATATATATATATATATATATATATATATATATATATATATATATATATATATATGCATACATATATTTATATATAATTCATACAAGTATTAATTACTTACCAACAACCTGCACCACTAACATAATAATATTGTTTGTCTAAATGAAACGTGGCTAAACTCTTATGGTAAGCAAGTTATTCTTTCTCAAACCAATATTAATTTTACTTACATAACCACTGAGCTTCAGGATCACATAGACAGTGGTACTATTATATTTATAAATAAAAAATATTCAAATAAAACAGAACAAACCAACTCCGAATCAAATTTAGTTTTCTAAACAAGAAATCGAACAAACTGTTGCTCTTATATACCCAACATAACTGCCGAGAGGATACTTCTCCTGTTTAATAATACCCCTCTGTTTAAATTTTAGTAAAACGTTGAATTTAAAAAGTTAATTTTTTTTTTATTATTATTTATTTAGCCGTACAAATATTTTATAAAAGGACCTTTAAAATGTATATAATTTTTTTTCTTTTTTTTTTTTCTTTCTTTAAAAAAAGAAATTTTTAATAAAAGATAAAATACATAAATATACTAAAAAATTCCATGAGTATGATTAAGAATTAAAAGTACATAGGAACTCGTAGAAGACCATAAGGTTTAATAGTCGAGAATAGCTAAAAAGTTAAAATTTCATTTAATAAATCATTTACAAAGAAAAAAAAAAGTTACAACGAAAAGTAAGAAATTAATTGTATTTAGTCTAATCTTTTAGTTTAACTATTTAAATGTCTAAACCAACTGTTTAAAACCGACCGCATTTGGAAGATATAGCTGAGGTCTTAAAACACATCGCTTAATCAACAGAAAGTTTTTTCATATGAAAAGATTGTGAGTGTCCTCAAAGAGATTGTTTCAGCTATCTCAAAAAACCAATAAATATAAAGCTTGTCTTAAATAAACTTTATCAAATAATTTAATTTGTAAACTGACCTTTTTATTTGAAGTTTTACGTCTGCTATATTTTTCCTTAATACTTTAAATATTGTATTACTATCAATTGATAACGCAAGTTCGAACAAGTCTTTTCAACATAGTTCAAACAAGTCTTTTCATAGACTTTGATCTTTGATCGTACTGTGCTGCATTAAAGTCACGACTTCTTAAAAACATTTGTGGTTGCCTCAAATTTTGCAAAAAATACAAAGTTTTGGGCTGATTAAATGTGGCAAAGTGTCATGTTCTTGGACGAAGCGTAAGGTTAATAGTATGCAGCACACAAAATCAATGTTTGTTGTTAACCATACTCATGCTTTAACTCCTAATATATTGCACCTTCTGAAAAGCAATACTAAACATTTATGATTCAGGGTGCAATTATTGCCAATGGTCGTGCTGACTTAAAATCTTTTAAACCAGCACAGTTGATGAAAATAGCTGCACCCCAGTCAATAATTGTAAGAATTTCTCAAATTGTTAGAAAAATGTGTCTTTATGATCTCAAAATAAATGTTTTTATGCATGACTGGGAAAAATAGAGGCAATCTAAAAGTTTGAGGAATACTAAAACATGTTTTATTCTGCGACTTTTTTTATGGTTATGCATTTGTTTTTTAAACTAAATCATTTTTGAGTAGAAAATGTGTACACTATACACTACACAAACGGTATTTTATGATAATAATTTAGCGTTAATTATTTAGTCGGATATTTATAGATTAAAGATATATTTGAAGACAAAGATCAAAATTTTTTTCGAATAAAAAATGCTTTATTTGTAGAACATTTCTCATTTTGATTTCAAATATGCAATTCATTTTTTCACCATCACGTCAAATTGTAAAGATATTTGGATTCAAATCTTTAGTATTTGAGGTAAAATCCCTAATATTGTAAAAAATAAAGTTTGTTTAAAAGTATGTCAACCTGGGTCTCAAAAAATGCGTATTTCATATGGAACTCAGAAAACATTTTTACTTAACACTTATTGATAAAAATAATTGTAAAAAAATGCTGAAGAATCTTAAATTTCAACAAAATGTTTCTCAGCAATAATATAAAAAGCATTTATTTTTATTACAAACAAATATTATTTTTAAAATATTTTTTTGACAATAGTTAGGGATTTTACCCCAAATACTTTATAACTTGAGGTGATAGTGACAAATGAATTGCATATTTGAAATCAAAATGCTCTACGAAAAAATGTAATGTTTGTTCAACTAAAAAAAATAATTTTTTGTTGACCTATGAAATTTTTGATAAAAATGGTAATAATCTATAAATAACAACAAAAAATGGTAATAATAATAAAAAATATTTTTATGTTCCTACTTAAGAAAAGCTGTGAAAATAACTTTCTATAATTATAGAGAAAAAAAAATTCCAAAAGTTTATATAAACTTTTGGAATTTTTGGAAAGCTTCATAAATTTACGCGTGCGCAGAAATCTTTTTTTACCAAAAAGTTCTGGCCAATAGTAAGCAATTTTCTTCGTGGTGGCGAAATGGCGGCTTTTGATTGCTATTTTCCATGCTTTTATTATTACTTACTTTTCTAAAAAAATATTGTTCTAAAGTTATTAGCCGCCATTAAAAATAATGATTTTTATTTCTCTATTTTTTTTTTCATTTTAATACAATTTATTTACAAAGTTAAAATCAAAACTTTAACAATGGGCGAAAACGAATAATTGAATGTTAAAATTCAGCTCATCTAAGTAATTCATGTTCTTCAATAAATATTTAGACTATAAATTGTAACATTTTTATTTTTTATATAATTTTTTTTCATAAAAATTTCCTAGTTAATCAACTGTGAGGCATTTATTATCAAAGTAATTTTTCTAATGAACAATGCAAGTCGATGAGAAACTTATCGAGACTTCACTAGAAAGTCTTGTTGGTCGAGTTGGTGATATTAAAGTGTCATTGCAAAACTTTTTGTTCAAAATTGAACATGAGTATTTGACTTGGCCTCAAGTTTTAGACAATTTTGCTCTTTTATCAGGTCAAATAAACACATTAAATAAACTTTTGAAAAATGACCACATGCCAATATTACGAAATCTTTGTGTTTTACCAATAAATGTACAGCCTGACTGTGACGAAGAACTGCAACGTTTAACAGAGAACAGAATACATGTATTTAACCATGAAGTTGTTCCAAATGTATTACGAACAAAATATGAACCTGATGTTGAAAAAGAAGAGCAAATGCTCATTAACAAGGCTGTATCACTTCAACAAGAAGAAGCTGAAAAACAAGTATTTACTTTAAATGAATTAGTTTCTTCAATTTTAGAGCTGATTCAGTCTGCTAGAGATGATTGGGATGGTGAATTTTCAACACAACAAACAAACTTAGCACCGTCTTCAAATGATACAAATATATTAATTGCAGCTATGTCTTCTGGTGCTGGTTTACGAAAAAGAGGTGGAGAATCTTTCAGCTCAAAACCATCTACTGCAAGAAGCGGACATCGAGCAACTCCTGTTAACTAATTAAAAAAAATTAAGACTAGTATTTACAAGTTATACTTATTACAATTATCTTGATAAAATAATGTTTTTTTTTTAAGTAGTTATATTTTTATTTAAATTTATAAATGTTTATTATTATTTATATAGGAATGTGTCAAGTTTCATTATATTTGTTATGATATATTTAATATAATTATAATATATTTATGAAGTAATATTTTTATTAAAGAAAAAACATATAATGAATAATATAATAAATATAATTTATTTTTGTATATTTTTTGATTTATTATAACTGCATTTATTATTCTGCTATTTATTTTGCTATTATTTTTATTTTTATTTAGATTTTTATTTTAGAAAGTTAAATTTACTAAAATTTTTAATTATAAGTTAAAATATGGTTTTCAGACATTTTACATAAAAGAGTGTATACAAGTCTAAACTAATACTAGAATTAGAAACGCGCTTCTAAGAAGATAAAACTAAGCTATCTGACAACTATTATTGTTTTTATTATTTTTGCAGAGTTAATATTAATGGCTGGTTTGGATTTAGTATCCCCTGAAGGACTTCGATTTGACGGAAGAAAATGTCATGAACTGCGCAAAATAACTGCAAAAAAGGGAATTTTTTCACAAGCTGATGGCTCAGCTTATATTGAACAAGGTAATACTAAAGTTATTGCCAGTGTTTATGGTCCACATGAAGTTAGTAATAGGTCAAAAACTTTGCATGATTCAACTTTAATTAATTGTCAGTTTAGTATGGCCACATTCAGTATGAGTGAGCGGAAAAATCGTCCAAAAGGCGATAGAAAATCAACTGAAATTTCTATGTTGTTAGAAAAGACGTTTGCAACTGCCATTATGACTGAACTTTACCCACGTTCACAAATTGACATTTATGTTCAAGTTATTCAATCAGATGGTGGTGTTATTGCTGCTTGTATTAATGTTGCCACGCTTGCTCTGATAGATGCTGGTGTGCCAATGAAAGATTTTGTTTGTGCATGTACTTCAAGTTATGTCCAGGAGAAAAATTTGACAGATATAAACCATTTAGAAGAGAGTTCTGGTTCTTGTCAACTTACTCTTGCTATGTTACCAAGAACAGCAAAAGTGGTTGCTTTTCAAGTGAGTTCTAGATTGCATTTAGACAATCTTGAAGAGTTGTTAAAGATAACTAAACAGGGTTGTTTAGATATTTACAACGTTTTACAGCAAGCTGTTGAAGCAGACTCTTTGCAACAAGCTGTTACCTTAGTTGTTTGATTTTATTGACAGTTTTTTATTTTATAGAGTTACAGTATTTATATTGAAATGATTTTGAAAAAATTGTATATAGGTGCCTCTTATTAAATCTTTTAAAAGAGTAGGCCCTTAACATCACCTCTCTCTTGCACCTAGCTGTTTAATCAAATCTACAGCAAGTTGTTAACCCTACCCTAGTTGTTTAATTATTTTGATAAAATGTGCCTGTATTTCTTTTTTTACAGTATCATAGTATTTTTGTCATATATTAAAAAATTATTTTTAAGTTGGTAATTTAGTGCTGATATTTTAAGTGTAAAAAACAGATTTGAAGTCCCAAAAAGGGCTCCTATTTTGAAAGTCTTGTTTGAAATGTTTATTCCTAAATTTATTTGTGGTCTTTGGTGTCAAAAGGTTGTTCTGGTCGTGGTTTTACACTGATCCTATATTGTGGCAGGTAAGGGGTCTTACGTGCTGCAGTATAGGATCAGTTTAAAACCTGATGATGGCAACTTACTTAGAAGAAAAAAAATACTGATATAAAACCTTTTATTTAATTGTGCGGTGGGTAAGAGGAGCTCATAAACTTTGGATTTTTTGGTAATTCTATAAAATGGTAGTATCATGATAAAATGACATTATGGTCCAAAGTACTGAAATTTGGAACCATAAGCATTTAGACTTATGAAGTAGACATTGAATTTTTTTAAAAAAGGAATCCTTATACGAAATCCAGAACTCTATGAGCTGATCAGATTCAAAAGCTTTAAATCCCCCTTGATTTCAACAGAATGAATTTTTTAAGTCATTTCTAAAGCTAATAAGCACCAAAGAATACACTGGTACCAGGAATCGAAATCACAGGTTCCAGGAATAAATAGTGGACTTTCAAAATCAGAGTTTTTTTAAGACTTCATGTCACTGGTAGGAAATATAGGCCCATCACTTATTTGTTTCATTTAAATCAACCATTAGATTTTGTATCATAAAAAATTATAGATGATTACTTGTCTCTTTGGTTGGTGTAACTGGGTTAGAGGAATAATGTAAACTATAATTTTCTGCACTGGTTCTGAGTATTCTGTTCTGTTCTTATTTGATTTTTTTTCTGTTCTGAGGTTTTTTTCTGAGTTCTGAATCTTATTTGTTTTATTATCATTTGGGTTTTTTCTTACATAGAAATAGTTAAAAAAAAGATTTATTTCAACAATATTTTATTTAGATCTAGTAATAGTTATTTAAATGGGAGATAGTGATGAAGAGTATGACAGGCGACGCGGTCGTGATAAATTTAGAGGTGAAAGAAATGATTATGATGCACGTAGACCTCCACCTCGAGCCTATGATCGTGCAAGAGGTGAACGAGTAAGAACCTCTCATGAAAATAATAACTGGGAAAACAAGGCTTCAAAAAGAGATTATTATGGTAGAGATGCCCATGAGCGCAGAGATAGTTTTGGTCGTAACTCAAGCCCACCATCAAAAAGATCTAGGAGAGAATGGTAAATATTTTAGCCTTTTAGTTTATATTTATGTTACATAACAAAATAACAACATACATGAGCCTATACATTTACATTAAATATATTTAAATATGTTTAGTGCTATTCCCTGTGTAGATACACTGAAACTTAGCTAATAAATTTGCTGTCACCATTGTTTCAATATCATTTTTTGTATCAAATGATCAGCCCTCGAAATTAGGAAAAATAAAGTCAGCAATAATTTGTCGACCTTAATCTGTGTGAGGTAGGCAGAAAAATGTAAAACAAAGATTTGACCAGTGTTTGAGGTCGACAAAATATTGCCAACCTCAAACACGACCTCATAGTCTGAAAATTTCTAATTGGGGTTTTGCATCTAAAAATGATTTTTTATTTTAAGAAAATTAGTGATTAGCAAATAAAAAAATTATGTTAATTTATTTACTTTATTTATTGAAAGTTTATTATTTTGTTAGCAATTTAGTTAGAAAAGCAAACATAATTTTTCCAAACACCATTTTTTAAAATTATATCGCTGCATATATTGTTTATTAAAACACAGATTAGTTTTTTGCAGGAATTTCCGAATTTTTTTATTTTTTTTTTAACATCTTCGCCTCCAACAAGGCTGAAAACAACCACTAATTAGTGTTGGAAGTTACTGGAAGAGAAAAGATAAAGATTGTAGAGCAAGATAATGGTTGACAGACGACTTAAAAGATTGTAAATTATATGAATCAGGAAAGCAAAATAAAGGAAGCGAATTCCAAAGAACTGATGTTCGAGGAAAGAAACTAGACAAATAGGAGTTTTTGGAGCACTTAGGAACAGTAACAGAAAAAGGATGAGACTTAATAGAATGACAAGTAACACGAGAATGAATTTTAGTAGATGGCACAAGAGACGCTAGCTCCTTCGAGCAGTGCCCATTATAGTATTTGTAGAAAAGAGAAAGAGAAGCAACATTACGACGATGTGACAGAGGTTGAAGGTTGGCTGCAAGAGTAGGTCCAACTATGTTTACAATGCATTTTTGCACCTTGTCTAAAAGAGAAAGGGCATCATTAGAAGATCCGCCCCAGATATGGCAACAGTATTCCATACAAGGCCGGATTTGAGATTTATAGAGATAGAGAATAGAATCCAGAGTAAGAAAGTGACGAGCTATAAAGAAAGCGATAAAGAGAAGCAACTTTAGCAGATGCTAATTTTGCAACGGATTTGATATAAGGTTTCCAAGAAAGATCAGAAGTAAGAGTTAATCCTAGAAGATAAAGGGTAGGAGACTCATTGAGTACATTACCGCTCATAAATATAAGAAGGTCTAGAATATTGCGATAACGATTGGCTGAAAAAAATTGAGTTTTATCTGAATTAAAGTTCACCAGCCACTGTAAGCCCCATGCTGTAGCAGAAGTGAGATCCTTTTCAAGCTCAGATGCCCCCTGCAAGCAATCAGAGGGAGTTGGCTTCTTATCATGACAAGAATAAATGGTAGTATCATCAGCGAACAATGCCACCTTAGATGTGAGAAAATCTGGAAGATCGTTAATGTAAATTAAAAAGAGTATAGGGCCAAGGATTGAAACTTGAGGAACCCCTGAGGTTACAGAATAAAAAGAAGAGTGCTGTCCATCAAGGACAACTTTTATACTACGATTGGAAAGGAAGGATTCAGTAATCTTAAAGATGTTTCCAGATACACCGTAAGTAGAAAGCCTATGGAGAAGACCAGCATGCCAAACTTTATCAAACGCTTTAGAAATGTCAAGAGCGATGGCCTTAACCTCTCCACCTTTATCTAATGCGCGATAAAACCTATGGGCTATTACTGTTAGCAAATCAGCCGTAGAATGAGAAGATGGAAATCCATATTGATGATCAGAAAGTAGGTTATGAGATTTGAGGTTAAGTGTTTGTTAATTAAAGATTCAAAAACCTTGCTTATGATAGGAAGAAGACTAATGCGACGGTAGTTAGACAAATCAGATCGCTCTCCAGAATTTTTAAAAATAGGGATAACAGATGCTGCTTTCCAGCAGGCTGGAAAACAAGACTCTGATAAGCACTTGTTGAATAGTTTTGAAAAGATAGACGACAGCTCAGGAGAACACTTCTGCAAGACTATAACAGGTATGTTGTCCGGGCCGCAGGCTGTAGAAGAGTCTAAGCGTGAAATCACTTTAGATACAGAAGCTGGAGTGATACGAATGTTGAGCAATGGATCAACCTGTTTGACGGCTATATCAAGTAGAACACAACTAGTGGCATCAAGAGATGATATTGATGAAAAGTTCTTGGCAAACAATTCAGCTTTGTCTTTAGGTGAGGTGACAAAGTCTGAACCATACAAAAGAGGTAGAATTACAGACTTGCCCTTATTATTGATACTATTAAAGATTCTCCAGAAGTCACGAGAGCCTAATTTTTGTGATGAAATACGAGATTTCATGATCTGAGAATAGCGGGTTTTGGCGTTAGACAAAACCTTTTTACAATGGTTCCTAGCAGTAATAAACAGACGTCTGTTTTCTGGAGAATTGTTTTGCTGATAGATATGGAAGTAATGGTTTCGATTGGCAATTGCAGCAGCACAATGTGAGGAAAACCATGGAGAAGAGTGAGGTTTGACCTGTAATCGTCGAGAGGGAATAAAGGATTCCATGCCATTCCTGAATCCACGAAGTTACTTAAGAAGCACATTTGTCAACAGGAAGACGAAAGATTTTTACCCAGGGGCCATCACAAAGAAAATCACGGAAACAGTCCCAGTCAGCTTTAAGGTAGTTGTAAGATGTACAATGAAAGGGGGATTCTGATAGTAAAGAAGAATGAGATAATAGTTTTAGAGAGACCAAACCATGATCAGAAGCACCTAAGGGTGAGTGTGGAGAAATTATAAAAAAAAGTGTAACTTTTTTTCATAGCGCAAAAGTAAAGCACTGAAAAAGTGTAACTTTTTTTTTATAACACAAGTTAAATAGTTTATTGTGCAATTTTTTGAAGCACCCTCGGAACACATTTATTTAAAATTTAATTTAGAGTTGAAAAAAATCTTAATGAAGAAAAATTGAAAAAAACAATTCTGATAAAAATGAGCTAATTTTTCTCTAAGAATTAATAAAATTTAAATATTGAACAATATTTAGTAGTTAGATAAAAGTTTTAACAAACTTAAATATATATTTTTAGTCAAAATTAGATTATATATTTTATACATCCAAATTTAACTACATATTTTTTTACCAGAATAAATTTATACATTTATATTAAATTAGTTTTATATTAAATCATATTTTTTATCAGAATTAAATTTTATAATTATAATATTTGCTTCAAGCTAAAAGTATTAGTGTTTTACAAGCGAAAAAATTACAAGAAAAAAAAATCATAATATAAAATAAAGAAAACATAAAATATGATTTTTTTATTGCAATAGAAAGTTGTATAAACATTCTTGTGCTAGAGAGATGATAAATAAACATTTTTATTTCTTTTATGTTTTATTTATTTATTTTTTTTTTCAAGGTTTGGTTTAATAACTTTGTTTACAAAAAATGTTTGTTAACTATAAACAATTTTATTTTCTGTTACTAATTATTTCGATAAAATAATCAGCTTAATAGAGATTAAGTTTTCATAGTTTTTAACTTTATTTGGGTTTATTTCTTTAGTAAATAGCGTTAGTATCTAAATATAATTGTCAACCTTTTTCACAAACTTTTTTACATAATCGTCATTCAAAAGTTAATATGGTTTTTTGTAAAATTAATTACTTAATGCGTATGTAAATTGCTGGCAGCTTAATGCTTTAACATAAGGTCTGAAATCCTGAGTAAGAAAGTGGTAAGCACGATAAAGAGATGCAACCTTAGCAGATGCTAATTTTGCAATCGATTTGATATATGGTTTCCAAGAAAGATTAGAAGTAAGAGTTAATCCTAGAAGACAAAGGGTAGATGACTCTTCGAGTCATCTAACCTTTGTCTTCTAGGAATAATGTTCATAAATATAGGAAGATCTAGATTATTGTGATAGCAATTAGCTGAAAAAAAATTTTTATAGTTAAAGAGCTTTATCCGAGTTAAAGTTCACCAACAACCGAGAGCCCGGTGCTCTAGCAGAAGTAAGATCCTTTTCCCCCTCCAAATGCCCCCTCCAAATAATCAGAGAGTGTTGGCTTCTTATCAAGGCAAGAATAAATGGTAGTATTAGCAAACAGACTATCAGACTTGTAATTGATGAGAGGGAATAAAAGATTCTATGCCAGCCTGAATCTAAGAAATTTCGTAAGAAGAATAATTATCAGCAGAAAAACCAAAGATTTCTAACCAAGAGCTATCACAAAGAAAATCATGGAAATAGTCGCAGTTAGCTTTAAGGTATTTGTAAGAGGTGCAATTATAGGGGGATTCTAATGATGAAGAAGAATGAGATGATAGTTTTAGAGAAATCAAACCGTGATCAGAAGCACCCAAGGGTGAATGTAGAGAAACTGAGCACTGACTAGGATCAGAAAACAAGACATAAGTCAAGTATTAAAGGTAAATGATTTGGATTGTCTAGAAAGCCAGTTGGAAAGTTGACTATTTGTTTTAGAGATTAAAAAAAGACATAAGTTTTGGGTCTTAATGCCTGCAGAGTCACTGACATAGAGCCAAGCCATTCAGTTTGATAAGCGTTAAAGTCACCAACAACAACGATATTGGCTGAAAGATAAAGAGAAAGGCCTTGATCAATTTGATCAGAAAGCACATAAAAGAATAGTCTGCAGATTCAAACCTAGTTTCCTGGCAAGTGGATAAATTCTTATAAATGTAAATAACCAGGCCAAGTATGTGACTATTGGAGTCTTTAAGTAAACAAAATGCTATGTACTTGGAGATGACAATAGTTTTTTGTTTTTGGTACTTTAGTCATTTTAAATTTGTTAAAGAACCTGATTCAAATCACAGATAGTGCTCAGTACACTATTTAATAGTCCAAGCAGTTACCTCATTACTATTAATAATCCCTGACCTGTAACAAAGGGCACCAAATGTGGCTTCGACAATGCACACCAAAAGTACGAACAGGCACACCATTAATGCGCAACATGGCACTGTTAGTACTCTGATGTTTTGCAACTGTTGGTGGAATCAGCCACTCTAACAGCTAAAGTAGAGTTCAGGAAACCTGACTATATGCTGGCCTCGGAACCATAAAACTGATTTTTAGAGCTGTACCCTCATTAGGAGATAAAAAAAATGAGTTGCTTAGTCATTAAAACAGAGACACAAGCAAAACCCATGCATTGTGTAAAGAAGATCTAGCATTCAACATCCTAAACTGGAAATAATGTATTATAAATACATCTGCGCCAGCCTAATAGATAAAGAAGGGGTGTGAGGCTGTTCAACAGATTGAATCTGTTTACCCCTTAAGGTTTTAAACAAATTTTTTCACATTAAAATTGAATACATAGAAATGGGGGGGGGGTATTGGGGTTTAGAATCTTAGATCCTTATTTTAATGATTTTCAACATATTTAATGTTGTAATATATCTAATGTTAGTTCTTAATGTTGAGCACCGATAAACTGACTCCAAAAGAATTGCAGGTAATTTATCTTTTTTCACATTGCTTCACTGGCGATAATGTAAAGAAGTTAGACATTTAAATTAAAACAAAATTGTAACATACACAATAATGTTTGTCATTAACAGTTAAAATTACAACTGCATATAAATTTGGTCATTCATCTAGATAAACTGAATCAATGTCATAATACTGGGTTTATTGCAGTAGGACAGATTTAGTTTTCGACTGTTGTACTTGTAAATTTTCTATAGATGCATATTAAATAATTTAGTTCTTAAATGAACATTTATTATTCAAGCAAGTTCCACATCTTAATTTTAAATCTGTATTTAAGTCACAATGAACTCCCACAGGCATTAAAGTACAATGCCAGTGAAGAACCCAGACATGTTTTAGTACCGTTTTACTGGTATGGGCGCCTAAAAATTATTTTTAATTTTTCTTTTAATTTCTTATAAAAAATAAAAAATATATATAGTTTTAAATGCAGTAGTATATAAATAATTCTCAGTTTAATTTAGCTACCTCTAAAAGAATTAAAAAGAAATTGCTTTTTTAAATAACTTTGTGACATAATTTACCTTCGGTTATTAACTGGACATAACTTTTAAAAAAATGTAAGTCGTCAAGAAACTTAATTTTAAAACCACATTGCAAAATTTTATAACAATAGAATAAATAAAAGATTTGCTTTTTTGAAAGTTAAAGCGTTTTTAAATATCCATTCAGCATAAGGTGAATTTTTGTTTTTGGCAATTAAGAGTAAACTGCTTTGATAACAAATGAACAAAAGTAAAAAATATCAGTCCTTGTAACTATTGTGCAAGTTTAATTTTTAAATGAATGAACTTTTGATCTTTAGCTTGCTATTTTAGTTTACGTGAGGAAAACGAAGTATAAACCTTTTCAGACAGTTTTTTTTCCTTTCAATATTCTTTTTAAAATAATAATAAAAAAAAAGGTTTCAATAACTTAATAAAAGTTTTATTTAGATCTGTTTAAAATAACCCATAGTAAATGTAATTTATTTATTCAAATGTAATTTTTTAAATTATTCTTAATAATTAAAAAAATATCTTTTTTAAAATATATGTTTTTAGAAATATAATATGGTTTTTAATAAAAATAATAGAATATTTTTAAAATTATGTTTACTGTAATTATCTCTTTAATTATCTTTAATTTAAAAGATGCCTTAAAATCACTTTATAAATTATAACCTTTAGTAAAATTTGAATGAACAGATTTACTAATATTTAAATCAAAATTTTAAATTTAAAATAATAGAAAATAAGTTTATTAAATGCTTGTGTTTTTATTCGAATAGTTTATTTAATACGTTTACTGAATGCTTATCAAATTTGTTTATTAAATGCTTATGTTTTTAAGTCAAATACAAGATGTAAAACTATTTTGTTAATTTTACAAATATTGCGCGATATAATATATGTAAATATATTATGTAATGTAAATATTGATTAAAAATTGTTTAAAATATTTTTAATTATTATTTTAAATTAAATTTACTAAAATATAGTTAATAACTATTTAAAATACTTTAAAAAATTTTTAATAATTATTTACTGATAGCGTGGTATATGCAACAAAAGCGTTTATTAAAATCTTAGGTAAAAGAGTTTTCTTTTAGCTAAAGTAACATTGGCCACCAGTAAATTCATGTATTCAAAAAATGCCTTTAAATCAACACCTTATTATAGGATAAAACTGAACAAGATAAACAAATGATTATTAAGAAAATGATTAAAAATTATTGTTGCGGCACCTGTTTAACTAGAGGATATTGAGGGGGAGGGGGAAATCAAAAACATAACCCCCCCCCCCCCCCCCCCCCCTCAATGTTGCTGAAATAAAAACGGTATTCCCAAATAAACTCTGGTTTCTTCACTGAATGTATTTAACTTTTTATTTTAAGTGCCAGGTTGGTTGGTTGAGGAAAGCAACTTATTTATATTTTTTCTTAATCAGTTTAATCATAAAACAGATGACTATCAAAAATATAATGCTAGTACTATCAGCACTGTTATCATCTGGGATCTTGAATCCTTTTTTTCAGTATGTTCTTGGATCTAGCATTTTGATCCTTTTTATAGGATCTTCAGTCTAAGATCACAAAATTGAATGATCTTGTCCATCACTAGTGTTTTAAAATATATTGTAAGCAGATTTTGCCCAAACAATCATCTAGTTGTTACAATACTTTATTTTAGGGAAGAACAGTCACCATGGAGAGGATCAGACTCAAATGCTTTAATGTCTCATGACAACAAAATGTAATTTTTTAAAAATCCATTTTTTTTTAAATTAAATTAAAGTTTAAAAATATTTTTCCTTTATTTCTTTATTTTGTTAAATAAATTCCTAAAGAAGTGCTAGTTTATTTATTTTTCTTTCTATTAGCAATCTTATAAACTTTCTATTAACAATCTTATAATCTGAATAAATTGTAATAAAATGACATTATTTTGTTTAAGAAATGGTAGTCCTTCTCTGATGGGTTTTAAAGAGTTTATATTGCAACAAGAAGATGATATTGATGAAAGTGAAGCCATACGTCGATACCAAGAATATAAGGTGGAATTTAAGCGAACTCAGATAAATGACTTTTTTGTTTTGCAAAAAGATAAAGAATGGTAAAAGTTTGTTTTGTGCTACTTTATATAGATAATTAGCATCTGTTGTTTTTGTATAATTGACGTTCCACAATGATATTTAATTTTGTTTTTGTTTTTTCAATACTTAATATGGCTTGCTATAAAAAGTAAGCTAAATGTATTGAAAATGATTTTAAAATGGATAAAGAGAATTGAAGTTTTGTTGACTACCATTATTTATATAATAATAATAAATAATTTATTACTTAATGATTCTGGAAATGATTATTTGATTGTTTTAAGTTTTAAAAGACAGCTGTATTTAATTGATTCATTTTGATAAAAAAAATCAGGGTGTAAAATAAAAACGAAGGTGTTTGATTTACTGCTTTTTAAAATGATTTAAAATAAAGTTCAGCTTAAAAAAGGCTATATACTGTTAACTTACGAGCACCTTCTCATTTTGATTTAAAAAGTATAATGTTCTAAACATCAATTATTGTATTAAAGTATTAAATTTCAATTGTTTTTTTTTTTTTGAGCATTAATCATTGTGGAGCGTCATATAGTTCTAATTAATTTCTTTTCTGCCTATTTGTATGTCCATGCTAAATTTTAGGACTAATAGAATTGTATCTAGCTGACTTTTTAGCCTGAAGAAATTGGAACAGAGAAGACAAAATTTAACTATAGCCTGAGAAATATATTAAAATATGTAATCTTAAATGAGTTCACACCAAGCCTGTTTATTTTTGCTTGAGTGTGCGTCCACAGTCACTGGTATATAATGTGGCTGTGGGCGATTGCTTAAAATGTTACCTATCATTTTGAATTATCCGTCATTATTCTTGGATGATTTTCCTAAGTCTGTAAGTTATTCTTATGTATAATAAAAATATAAAAAGTATATGTTTTTTATATCTGTTTGTGTAAGGTACTCTATGAATAAACACAATAATTTATAATATATAATCTACTAATTTAAAATATATGTATAAACAATTTATCTTAAGTATGTATAAAAGTTTTATAAAAGTATACATACTTATATGATATGAGTTAATAATAATAGTTTGTATCATGATAATATAAATTAGTTCTTAAGTTTTTAGATTTCTTATATTCAGATTTACATTTTTTTAACTTCAATCTGTAGGTATTAAAAAATAAATTAAATATTCTTTATTTATTTTTTTACTATTTTCACCTTTAAAATTTTTTTTGTTGATAAAAGTATAACAAATTTAGTTCATTTTAAAAACAAAATATCTAGGGAAAAATGAGTAACCAAAGGTAATTCATAATTTATCTGTGCAAGTTGACTTGGACATGGTTTTCATTATCTGAATGAAATTGTCTTAATGTTATAATAATAATATAGTAATAAAAAATATAGTTATAATTTTGGATAGCTTCTCTAAGGTTGTGTGTTTAAATTATATATTTAAATATTGTATTTGATAAATAAAAATATGTTAAAATGCCAAAGCTGATGAAAAGTTGAAAATTAAAAAAAAAATTGTATTTAAATTAAAAACTAATAATTTTCCTTTGACTCACTGGCTGTGTGTTTTATTTAGGTTTAAAGAGAAATATCATCCAATAGAGAGTTCAGCTCGTAAAGCTGTTATTCGTAATGGATTAAGAAAACGTCTCAGAGTTTTTCTGGACTTGTATGAAGCAGGATATATTGACAATGTTTCATTGAACATTATTGCAACCTCTGAAGTATTAAAATTTTTAGATAGAGGTTTGTTACTTTCAGTCATTAAATTTATTACTGCTGCATATAATTTGTAATTGAAATATAGTCGAAATTAAATTGCAGCAACATGGAGTTTAGCTGTTGGTGTAGATTTCAGCTAATTTTAAATTTTAGTTCTGTCATCTTTTTTTGTTCTACAATTAATTTTAATAAATTTTATTAGTAATTTTTTCAATTTTATTTTTAATTTTAAAATTATGTTTCAGTTATTATAAAACTTGAAGGTGGCAGTAAAGAAGATCTAGATGCTCTTGACATTCCTCCTGTCAAAGACAAAGATGTTAAAACAGGTGATTTATGTTTTAGGTAAAAAATTATAGAAATTTTGAACTTTGACTGTATTTTTAAAAATTTCATCACATAAGAATATTTTGCATAAAAGTATTTTAATAACTCTTAAAATGTAAAAATAAGCTTTTACCAAGTTTTTATAGTTATGGAACTAAGGAAGCTAATTGAGGCTAGTTGAAGCTTCTTTTTTTAAAGCTTATTAAAACTGTTATACAATAATGAACAATAAAGCTTTGAAATCAGTATTGAAGAGTATTATACGACATATAATATGTTATATAAAATATTGAACTATACAATTTAA